TTAAAATCCTGCGCTGCAGTTCCTCTTCCTCTTCAAAAACTCCAAAGGGCTTCAGAGTCTCAATTAGTGTCTGTGTAAGCAGTCAGTCTCCTTGGGGGCTGCTAAGCTGATAGAGGTAATGCCATAGTGCTTCTGGCATGGCTGTGTTTGTTGTGATCCTGCATTGCGTTGTAACTGGAAACAGCAGTCTCCTGCGCAGGCACCGCCCAGTCACACGCACCCCACCCCACCCCACCCCTGCCCCCAACTCCGCTGCCCTGGACATGATCCACTGAGGCGGGAGGGAGGTGGGTAGGGGGGAGCTGCCTCAGCCCTGGGTCCAACCCCACTCCCGCACTGCTCCTGCCACTTTAAGTGCTTCTCCTCCTTACCCTTCGTCCTAACATGGCGCCCCCAAAATCTCAATTTTATGAGGGTTCCTTGTATGTAACAAGTTGTTTTTCTCACTGTTTTTAAGATATGCTCCTTGTCGTTAAGTTTTGACATTTTAATCATAATGAATCTTGGTGATGGTTGTGTTTCTTATTTTGAATTCTCTGTGCTTCCTGAATCTGGATTATCTGTTTCTTCTCCAGGTTAGGGATGTTTTCAGCCATTTTCTCTGCCGTTTTTCTCTTCTGGGACTCCATATAATTTGAATAATAGTCTGTTTGATGTCCCATAAGTTCTTGAGCTATCCTCACTTTTTATTTTTTTGATGCTCTGGATGAATTCCACTATCCTGTCTTTGAGCTCACTGATTCTTTCTTCTGTATCATCTAGTCTCCTACTGAATCCTTCTAGTGTAATTTTCAGTTCAGTTAGTCTATTTCTATGACATATTTGTTACTTTGAATACTTGTATTTTCTTTTTGAAGTTTTTGCTGTGTTTATCCATTCTTTTGAGTTCTGTGAGCATCTTTATCACCATTACTTTGAACTCTATTAGGTAAATTATTTGTTTCATTAAGGCTTTTTTCCTGAGGTTTTATCTTATTCTCCTGTTTGGAACATATTCCTCTGGTTTCTTCATTTTGTTAGATTTTCTGTCTTGGTTTGTTTTTGTTTTTAAGATTTTATTTATTTTTTATTTATTTATTTATTTATTAAGATTTTTATTTATTTGACAGAGAGATAGCGAGAGCAGGAACACAAGCAAGGGGAGTGGGAGAGGGAGAAGCAGGCTTCCCGCGGAGCAGGGAGCCCGATGCGGGGCTCGGTCCCAGGACACTGGGATCACGACCTGAGCTGAAGGCAGACGCTTAACGACTGAGCCACCCAGCCGCCCCTCTGTCTTGGTTTCTATGCATCAGATGAAACAGCTGCCTCTCCCAGGATTGAAGGAAGGGCCTCACATAGGCACTGACCCTTTATTGTTCAACCCTACCCTAGCTTTTGGTTGTCTCTCAAACATTTGTGATAGTCCATGCAGCCAGTTTTATTTTTAAAAGCTCCCAGTAGTTGAGTGTGCCAAGACTGGTCAGTGTACTAGAGGGGAATATCTGAGTCAGCACGTAGATTTAGGCTGCATGGAAGCCAGACCTTCAGGCAGCAGCTTTTAACTTATATATACAGTCCACTAGGACCACAAGCAGAAGCCCCCTGGCCTCCAGGGCCTGGTGATCAAGTGGCACCCCCTACATAGCAGCTGCAGAAACCAGGGTATGACATAAAATCCAGGGCAACAGACTTGTGTAAAAGTTCCCCTCCAGGAGATATTGGCGCTCTGGAGTCAGACAGGAAAAGCACGAAGATGACACCTGCTGGTTGGAGTGAGGCGGGGGGTGGAGGACGGGACTCTAAAGGTAGTACCTGTTAGAGGTTCAGGGTAGGCCTAGGGTTTTACTTTTTATTTAATTTTTTTAAAAGATTTTATTATTAATAGCGAGAGATCACAAGCAAGAGGGGGAAGAGAGGTAGAGGGAGAAGCAGACTCCCCACTGAGCAGGGAGCCTGATGCAGGACTTGAACCCAGGACCCTGGGATCATGACCTGAGCCAAAGGCAGCTGCTTAACCGACTAAGCCACCCAGGCGCCCAGGCCTAAAGTTTTAAATGAAGATAGTGCCTGCCAGCCTCAGTTCCCTGGAATAGTATCACAGTAAGTCCCTAGATATGTGGTAAGTTAGATGCCTGCCCCTTAGGCCTACACTTTATGTGAAAGAAGTTCATTTACTTATATTAATAACTCTGGGTACTGTTGGCTGCCTCTTTGCTGGGCCCTGGGGCAAGTTAGTCCACACAGTAGCCATTTTTTTCTTCCACTATAGCTTTGTGGGTCTCATGGACATGAGCCCTATTGGCTTTCAAAGCTAGATGTTTTGGGAACTCCTCTCTCAAGAGCAGGTCTTAAAAGCTGAGGTGCCCAGTGTAGGGTTCAAACCCATCACACCTCAGGGAGAAGCTCTGGGTTACTTACTTACCTGACAGCTGCTCACTTACCTAAAATTATTCTGCTTATGAGCTCTTGGTATTTTTTTTGATACTTTGCTCTTAAAGCTTGATGAATCTGGTTCAGTCCCTTCCCTATGTCCAGAAAATTCTGTTGAATTGTATGAATCCTACACATTATTTAAGAGAAAGTGAAAATAATTCTTTAAGATAGTGAAATTATGTGTATTATCACCGAGTGGCTTTAAATAAGAGAATTTAAGGGCGCCTGGGTGGCTCAGTTGGTTAAGCGACTGCCTTCGGCTCAGGTCATGATCCTGGAGTCCCTGGATCGAGTTCCGTGTCAGGCTCCCTGCTCGGCAGGGAGTCTGCTTCTCCCTCTGACCCTCCCCCTTCTCATGTGCTCTCTCTCTCATTCTCTCTGTCTCAAATAAATAAAATCTTTAAAATAAATAAATAAATAAATAAATAAATAAATAAATAAGAGAATTTAAGCGGTCAGGGTCCCAGAATCAAGTAATTCAAGATGGTTTATGTAGAAAGGGACCATTTCCAAAGGACTGGGTGTGAGGGAATCAGAGACAGTTCATAACTTTGGTGCTAGTAGCAGCTAAGCTGATTACCAGAACCTAGAAGGCAAAAGTTGTGTTAAAGGTAACTTTGAGGGGAGCAATGGCCTTTGGTAAAGGGACAGAGTCAGCCTCAGATCAAAACAGGGAATGAGCCGGTGCAATAAATATCCTGACTTCATTCTCTTTGCCAGTGAACCCTCTTGACTGTGAAGTTGGAGGACCCAGGAACCCATTGATAAGGTTCATACCAGTTTAGTTTGCCAGGGCAGAGTCATGGTAGAAAAAGGCGTTAAGTGGGTATAGAGTGGCAAAAGAAAATATCCAGTATTAGAATGATGCAGGCTGGGCAGCCTTACTAGGGATTGGTCCTAGAGCATCTCCATCCTGGAATAACACACCTAGTAAGTGTCCAGGATAAGAGAGCAATAACTGGACTATTAATTTTTTTTAATGTGTACCACAGACCTTTTTTCATTAGTTAATTGTGTATTTAAAATTTTAATCACGAGTGAAAGAAGACCTTTTGTAAAACTGTTCAACTGGTTTCATAGCTGTTAACCTCAGTAAACATGTAAGAAGGAAATTTCAGAAGTCTTTGAGTAAACTTTTCCAATGTTGTATGTGATTCAGCAATGGTCTGCAGTCAGAATATAATGGTATATGAGTCATATGATCTAAAAGTACAAAAAACACAACATGACTTTTCATCAGGAACATTTCCCTAAAATTTGGTTCCAAGGAGGGAGATATAAGACAGTTTCCCAGCGTTTCAGACAACAGAAGGACATTTTCCAGATCCTGTATGTTTATATATTTTCAAACCAAGTTATAAAAAACTTACCACCTCGATTTTTTTTTACATTGTTTTTGATGAAAAATTTTTTGCCAGTTACCATTGATATGAAAAATGTATTTTAGACTTGTGCTGAGAAATACTTAGATATACAAGATGATACTATATATGGCTTTTGTATATTCTCAATGAAAGCTAGGACAGTCCTGTGAAAAGTTTTTTAAAAAATGGTCATACGTGATGCTAAGAATGAATCATCTGGGGGCACCCTGGATGGCTCAGTCGATTAAGTGTCTGACTCTTGATCTCAGCTAAAGTCTTAGGGTTGTGAGTTCAAGCCCCACATTGGGTTCCACGCTGGGCATGGAGCCTACTTAAAACTAAACCATCTGAAGTGTGTGGCATGGATGACCTAGGCATCTTGCTGAGTAAGTAAGCTGGTCATGGGGTCAGGGAGGAGTGCACAGAAACACAAATATCCTATAGCTCCACTTGTATGAGGAATCAAGGGTGGGGTGGACAAATTCATAGAGATGCAAAGTAGAGAGGTTGCTGGGGGTTGGGAGGGAGGGTGGAATGTGGAGTTACTGCTTAGTGGATGCAGGGTTTCTGTTTGGGGTAAGTCAAAGGGCCTGAAATTGTGCAGCACTGTAGGTTTGCTTGGTACAGTGAATGGTTTAATGTAAGATTTAGAACCCTTGTGGACTATTGGTAATGTAAAAACTGTAGTCACTATAGAAAACATACAGCATTTTCTCAAAAAATTCAAAATATAATTACTGTATGACCCATCAATTCCCGTTCTGGATATATACCTGAAAGAAGTGAAAAGTAAGAAGAGATACTTAGACACCAGTGTTCATGGCAACATTTGTCACGATAACTAAAAGGTAGAAGCAATCCAAATGCCCCTTGGCAGATGAATGGATAAACAAAGTGTGGTATACACCTATAATGGTATATATTACTACTCAGCCTTAAAAAGGGAGGAATTATGACACATGCTATATACAAATAAATGGTTGAACTTCGAGGACATTATGCTAATATGAAACAAGCCTGTCATAGACAAATACTGTATGATTCCACTTATATGAGGTACTTAGAATAGTCAAAATCATAGAAACAAAGTAGAATGTTGGTTGCTAGAAGCTGGTAGGGAGAATGGAAAGTTGTTTAATGGGTATAGAATTTGGAAAAAAATAGTTAAAATAATAAATTCTGTGTTTTACAATTAAAAATTAATCCTCTGAAATTTTTCTTTAGATGACTTAAATACAGGAACACTCACCAATGCAGAATCATGCTGTGGAACAGTAATAGAAAGGGAAATTCTAAATTGTTCATCTCCTGAGATTCCTGCAGAATTTAATGAACAGTTTAACACTAAGAAAGACAAAGAGGAACTTATAATAAATCAGGTTAAAGGAGTCAACTTAGAAAAAGAAAACAGTTGGCATAATGATCAGTGTAATGAGTTTGCAAGGACAGAGAAAACACCTATGAAGAAATGTCCTAAAAGGCCTGATTGGAATATAAATAAGCCACTCAAAAGGTATATTCCAGCATCAGAAAAGTACCCTAAACAGCTTCAAAAGCAGAGAGAAGAAAAAAAAGTAAGAAGGCAGATGGAACTGCTTAATTTGGTAGAAAGAAATAATCCTGGACATGTCTCTCAAAATAGAGGCACTTCACCAGTTCTTCCTTCATCTCAAGAAACTGAGCCAAGGTTCAGGTGGCATCTAATCAAAAAGGTAAAACTTTACTGTCTTAAAAATATTTTAAAGTATGTATTGGTGTTTCTAGATTGAAAACAGTTCCCCACATGGTTATTTTGACGAGGCTGTTCAAGTTTAAGAAATACACTTTAGTTTATACCAGGGGTTGTCAAACGGCCTGTGGGCAAATCCATCATGCTGCTGCTTTTGTACATCAAGTTTTATAGGAACACAGCCATGCTCATTCTTTTATGAATTGTCTGTGTCTGGTTTGGAGTAGCTGGAGAGACCACCACATGATGGCCCACAAAGCCAAAGTGTTTACTATCTGGTCCTGTACAGAAAAACTTGACCCTTATACCCTATATAGATTAATGCTATTCATTGTTCAAATAGCCATTCAAAACTCGTTTGTAGTTAATATAGACAGAGGATAATTTTACAAGGTCAGGAATTACTGCATTGGTTCCGTGACTGGAAAAGTAGAAAATCTATCTCATTCTCCGGTTTTCAAAAATATTTGTGGGGACATATGGCAGTACTGTTACTCCTGTCTGCATTTATCTACCCTTTAGGAAGAAGAGCCTCTGAAAATTAATTCTTTCGGCAAGGAAAGGTACGTTATGGATTGGATTGATTCCATAGCTACTTAGTGCTGTGTGGGACAAAGGAAGTACAAATATTTGCTCAGAATATAGGTAAGATCAAAGCGCGTATATATATATATATATGAAGTCAGTAACAGGAAAGTGTAGGGACTTAGAGGTGGGAAATAGAGGTATAAGGGAAATGTGGCTGACATTTTACCTGAAATTTGAAGGCCCAATTTGGACTGGGCCTAAGCATGTAGGTAGGAATGTAGGTGAGGTATTGTCTGCAAACTTAGCTAAAATCGTTTTGATTTGGGGCACCTGGCTGGCTCAGTCAGTTAAGTGACTGACTCTTGGTTTCATGAGGTCATGGTCATGATCTCGGGGTCATGGGATTGAGCCCCCCATCAGGCTCTGTGCTTAGCGCCAAGTCTGCTTGGGACTCTCCCCACCAAATAAATCTTTAAAATAAAAATAAAACAGTTTTGACTTTCCAGTGATGTCAACAGTGGAATAGCCTTTCTGCTTAGATTGAGGAGGTTATGAAGAAATGACTAGTAGGGATACTAGTTCATTTAACCAGATTTAGATGGTTAGGAATTTTATTCTGTGCCTTTGTGCATGAACCAGGTGGTTTAGAGTTGTGTAGGAATGTGGCTCTAACAAGAAGTTTGGTTCGCATGGTAAGTAGATTATTGTGAATTATCTAAGGAGCATTGGGCTTAAATCAGCCCACCTAGTATTGATCCTCACTTTTCCTCTATACTGTATATATCCTTGCCAAGTAAAGTCTTCCTATTCTGTTGCCATTTTAGGAAAAGTGTCATAGAACTCACTTCTATTCCTAGTGTTCTTTAAGGTGTTACATTGTAGACTAAATTGAAATGTGATTAAAGAGTAGATATGCTTAATTTAAAATACATAATTTTGCATTAAAGCTTCTTAGTCCTTAATTATGCTTTTTTGAAAAAAAACAGGTCTCAGTCACCACCACCAGTTCCAGTGGTGAAAAACAGAACACAACAAACTCAGACACTAAAAAACAGTAATTATGAAAGAGAGAATCTGATCTTAGAAGATAGTCAAACAGGAACATCACCTGGTCTTTCTGAACCATCTCATTTTATCCCCTATGTCCGAACCAATGAGATTTATTACCTTGATCCAGATGCACCTCTGTCTAGGCCTTTAACCCAACAAACTTCACATGGTAAGTAAACAGAAGTATCCCTTTCCCCCAACACTAAATTCAGAATCCAAACTAATATTCTTGCCCTTAGTCAGGAGGGGTAGAATTTCTCTTTTGGGGTCTGTTACTAAATTTTTTTTTTTTTAAAGATTTTATTTGACAGCGCGAGAGCAGGAACACAAGCAGGGGCAGTGGGAGAGGGAGAACAGGCTTCCTGCTGAGCAGGGAGCCCAATGTGGGGCTTGATCCCAGGGTCCTGGGATCATGACCTGAGCCAAAGGCAGAGACTTTACTAAATTTTTCATTTTAGAGATTGTATTTGACTTATACCACTTTCTTCTGTCTTCAGACTGTGACCAAGAACACCGGCAGCTATTTGATTCTGAGGTCAGGGACCCACTTCTTAATCCTAACTTGGTGAAAAACAGGGATCGACAGCAAGCAATCCTTAAGGGACTATCGGAACTGAGACAGGTAGGAGCTTTTTCACCAAGTTTGGATGTAACTTTTCTGTGTATGGCTAATGGAGGGCTATATATTGGAAGGGCTATTTTACTTTAAAGGCCTAATTGAACACATCCCAGTTAAAAAAAATTCACTTGTATATTAATCTTAAAAGTTCTTTCGTTCAATTTGATTCACACTGCCATCTTAAATACTCCAGTATGAAATCATGAGACAGTTGTAATATTAAGACAGTTTTATTTAATGAAAAACATACATTTGAAAGGGTAAACATGAAATAAACCCTAAAACTCAAGACAGAAAATACAAAATTATGCTTTAATAAATTCTTAGTAATGCAGTTGTTTTTTTTTTAATTGAATGTGTTGGCAGTGTTCAGAATATTGATGCAAGTCCCAAAGAATAATAAAATTTGGTGTGAAAGTATACACGTAACGTCTTACCCATCAGACTACATACATCTCCTCCTCCCAGATCATCAGTTATTGTCACTTCTCATTAGCTTGCTCAGGCAAAAATAAAATCTAGTAACACATTCAATATTTAAGGCTATCAGCACCTTTATCAGCTGGCCTTTAAATACCTATCCCCAATCTTAGGAAAAATAAACTGCCACTTTAGGAGTGCCCTTTTTCATGTCCAGTCATTTACATATGCCTCTTGCATTTCAAATTGTCGATTCAAGTGTTGCTTACCCAATTTGTTCACAAAGAGCTAGAAAATCACAATAACAATTATATAGAAAGTATCCTTTAGTTCTTTAATGCTAGCTTTGGTTACATATAGATTATGTAACAAGCAGTAATATTTCCAATTTTCCATTAAAGTGACAAGGCACTTTTTTAAATAGAGGTAAAAGTTGTGAGGTCAAGAGGCAGGAATATATACCATGTATATAGTGACCCACCTGTATAGTAGCCACATCTTATTTCAGCAGGGCCTTGTCTAAGCCACTAAGGTTAGTGCAGTCAAGATAAACTGGATGTTATTTAAGGGAGACTCCTTCAGTGTGTCTCATTACCATTTTAAGAGCCTTTAGGGGATTTCAGCCCCATAGTTACGGAGACTTGGAAGAGTCATCCTTATTGGTTTTTATACTAAAAACATAATCTTACACGTATGTAATAGCTACACAATATCCAAGTGAGAAAGTCTGATGTAGGTCTTTTGAGTGGTTAAAATTCAACGTGACAAAGATAAAGCTATGGCCAAGTAACTGAACTGATTGATTACAGGTTTTCAAAGTAAAGTAAATATAATTCTGGATTAGCAGGACTGTAATGTAAAATAGGAATAATTTGCAAGTTTGCTGCTTCCTAACATATCAATGTGATTTCAGGGCCTTCTCCAGAAGCAAAGGGAGTTGGAAACTAATCTCATGCCTTTAGCTGCAAATCAAGAAGAGAATTTTAATTCTTCGTTTTAAATGTAGAATATCAAATCCTTCACATTTGTTGCTTCTGAATTATAAAATGTGTTCATTGCATAACTGTATTTTCCAAATAACCTGGATTTATTTTAAAAATGCTTATTTAAAACTTGTACATTATGTAGTACAACGCTGTGTATATATGTTTTTTACAATAAAACAGACATTTTTGTAAAGGTTAGTAAAAAAACATTTTCTGCTCTATCACAATCTAGGTATTTAAACACTTTCTACTTACCTTAAGACAGGTTTCTGACCTGTTCACAGACCACGTTCTTCTACACTTACGTAGCTTATTACTGAAATACCACTTAGGTATTTGTTCTATAAAAAGATTTAAGAGGTTAGAACTCTTCCAAGTTCTTCTGAGGGGCCAAAGGAAGGTCTGACTTAACACATCTCAACTTTAAAATAGCTCAGTATTTCTTTTCTATAATTCCTGTTTTTAGGACTTTACAAAAACATTTTACAAGTTTGCATTTCTAATGCAGACAGTTATTAGCAATAGATACGGTTTTAAAATTGACCATATACTTTATCTGTGAATTGTTATTTTTAGTAAAGCACTTAAATTTTCACCACCTCAAAAATATACTTACATTTTTCTAAGACTACGAATTCAAAAATCTATAGCAGAGTTGTTCCAGATTTGTTCAGTGCCTTTAATATAACAGAAGCCCATCTTTTGGAAATATGAAATTGCATTTGGTTAAGTCAAGGACCATACTAAGCATTGAAAATTGTAATCATCAAACACCTCAAATAAAAGGTTGACCCAAAATTTTACCAATAGGCAATTTTTAGATGGCTAAGCCTAAAGATAAAAATAATGCTGCCTGGCATTAAGTCCTAAGTCTTATGTTACATAGTTTATCATCTAAACTGAAACTGCATTCATTGTTAGATAAATCTTGAGGTATTGAGCCAAAATCCTTTATATCTATTGACATCACTGGCTTATACCTGTATAAACACTATACAAAAGCTTAACAATAGTCGACTGGTATGTCACTTCAGCAAAAGTAGTTGGTATCATCTGACCGGGGGGGAGAAAAAGAAAAGGCATTGTTCACTATCCTTTTGCAAATTGTCTAATTTTATATATAAAACAGGCTTCAATTTGAAGCCCAAGTACAGGTAACATATATTTGTAAAACTTAAAAAGTGCCAACATGAGATAATTCAAGTACAATATATGTTAAAAATATATATATTTATTTCAATTTTCAGATGCTTCAACTGTTACAGGCCATCATGATTTAAATAAGAGGAAAAAAAACATTGAGGAAGGACAAGAAACGTTTTGTTTAGAGAATGAAATATAAATTGTTAATTCACTTATAACAGAAAAAGTTCGTAACAACCTATTTCAAAAAAAAAAAAGTTACTATAATTATTTCTCTTTTGAAAAGGGCCTGGAAGAATCACTTTTCCCCCAACTTAATGGAGATGGAGATTTAGCTCTATCCAAGCTTTGAGTGTAAGCAGATAAAAAGTAATTTTCACTTTCTTGAGACTGACTTGATGAAAGGGCATATGGTGTCCCCAGAAATGTCTGATGAGTGAGAACATTAAAATGACTAAACTGATGGGACATATTTAATTGACTGTGATAAACCTGAAAGTTGCTATATGAATCTTGTTCAGTTGCACTGCTGTTCTCTCCTTCAGAGCATACTATAGCAACAGAAGCGCTCTCTTCAGAATCAATTTGATAAGTCTTATCTTCTAATAAACTTTTTTGCACGTCAAGAGACGATTGCAACTCAATTTGAATATTCTTATTTTGATCTGTTCCACGTGATCCTTTGGTCTCTTTCGCCAATATTTCTGAATGAAAATTGCTGCATACTTCTATTTGTGAGATTTCATCCCCTGAATCCAGAGACATATCCTCTTCATCCTTTTCATCGTTTTCTAAAAGAGCTACATTTAAAAAACAAAAAGTCCTCCTCTATTGAAATACACAATTTGTTTAAGTTTTAAAATTATACACTACTCACACAATATAATGCGTCAGGGTCTGCAAGTCCACAATCCCTTAAAGCTTGGTCTTCTGCCACAAGTTCACTTAGTCACAACACTCACACTAGGTGTGAATGTCCAGATAATCCGATGCTAAAAGCTTCTGCGAAATGTGTTCACGTTTAATGTTGGGAAATCCCAACTCCCAGCTCCAAAGGGGTTAATGTCAAAACAGCATCTAAAGTTACACGGTAATTCAGTATTTGACAAGACAAATAAAAAATAAAAATTTTGACATCTAGCTTCATTGGATTACGACTAAACTGGTTAGTTCTAGCAAATGTTTGATCATCTCTGCTTTTCATCAAAAACAAAGTACGTACATCTTTCATTTAACATAAAACCTGGAACCAAAGCAGAGGCCATCTCACAAAGCACCAAAGCTATGGATATATCCCTACTACCCTGCACTTAAATTGCTGTACACATCTGGGGAGAGTCTGTAGCCCAATACTAAATTCCCCATTACTTGGTGTCCTCCTTTATAAAAACAGAACCCCTTTGCTGACAACAGCAGCCGAAAAAGTTTATATACCCTCAAAAAGAAAATGCCTACTCTGGTAGCATACTTAACAGTTTGTACTGACTACAGTATAATAAATGAGCAATTTTGTATATGCTAAGTATAAGAACAGTTAAGTGCCTTGAAACACTTCCCCTGAAGCTGTTTACACAGAGGGCGAGTAGTTTCAAAGGAGGCATTTTGTTCTATGAAAACGACACAAAACCATTCCTCTTTTTCTGTCTGCCTTAAAGAAAAGTAAAACTACTGAAAAGTTACCTGACTGTGACTCAAGATTCTCATTAGCACCAAGCAGTGGAAGGTTTTCTTCTGTGATTGAGTTGTGATAGCCCACAAGATTTTTAAAGTTTTGCATAAAGTCTTCAGTAGTCGCAACCACTATTCCATTATCTGTATAACTGGAAAGCATCTTGATGTTCTTTTCTAAATGAAAATAAAAAGGTTCGAGTATAAAACATGTGAAAACCTACATGGAGAGACAGGATGATGCCAGCCCCCGCCCCCATGAAAGTGCTTAACACCCACTAACCGCAACAAAACGCTTCCATCCACATTCCTGCATTCATAATAGAAAGCTTAAGGCGGCACTCTTTACCTGTTAGAAAGACTATGTGTCGTTGCTGTATGTTCTGAGCCTGAAGTCTGATAAGGCAATCCAATTCTGGAGCATTTCGAGTTTGTGAATCACAATTGTGGTATGACAAAATTTCAACCAGATGTTTCTTCTGATAGACATTCAGAAGTGTCAACAGACTTAGAGCTTTAGCATTCAATCTGTGGAAGTAAGTAGTTCAATATCTGGATCTGCATTTCTAAAATTTAGTATGGACGTTTTTGCTTCAAATTAAAACCATAATTTCTCAATTGAGGCAACCAATGACAATTGCACTGCTTTAGTTCACTGCCTGATGGACGGGTGCTTCCTAGGAGAGAGAGGGGAGCAGGAATTGTGCAACCCACATTTAAGTCCAGGGGCTTTTTATGGGTGCAAAGCCTGAGAGGCAGCCATTCAGCTTTAGACTAAAATCTCACTGTACTTACTAAATAACACTTCCCCCTTTAGCTTTACTAATTCAGAATGTGAACAAAGGGCACAGGACAAAAAAATAGAAATCTTTCTTTCAGAAAAATACATGGCTTGAAGCTATTTCTACACCTCCAAGCACAAGGCAACAAGTGGTAGAAATTACTATTGTCAGGAAGATAAGGGTATTAACTTTGCACCAAAGTCACACCTTTGGGCCTCATTATTATCTGATTACTGTTATCTGTTACACAAAGGTAAAGGCTTTTCCAATGCCTATTTTCACATAATTTGAAGATAAAACAAGTTTTTTAAAGTGAATTACTACAAAGAGTTAAATACTTTTCAATTATTTAAACCTGAATTTCCCTAAGTGTCTTCCACAGAATTAGAAGGTGTTAGGTATTAGAAGAAAAAATATTTTTCCACCCAAGTTTCAAAAATGCTAGCTGACAAAATGTAAAACAGAATTCTTAACTAGAGAGTCTCTCAGATCCTTAAATATGTAAATACACTACATGGACTCTCTAGTAGTAAGACAGAGTATCCAAAATTCATCTTATTATAGAATCATTTGTGGGGCCTCTCAAGTGGACTAGTAATCCAAGGATCACTGGGCATTTTGGAAATCAACTGCTTACATAAATGAATGTCCTAATCACAAATCCCCTTATCATGTTGTGATTAATGTCTCAGTATGTGTGTAAATAGATTAGCTGCCTACGGTGTAGTCCTTAACTGGAAGAGAGCCTGATCTAGTTGGCATATATAGTTTGGTAAAAAAATAGAGTGCTGACTATTTTTTTGACGATTTTTCTAAACCCTCAAGTGGCAAAGATTAAACCAATTTTACCTATATACCTAACTAGAACTTCAACTTTAGCGCTTCTTCCTAAATAAGAATACTATTTCCAAATAGGCTAGAATAATAACTACATTCCCCCTTATGAGTGGCTAAGGAAATCTGTGAAAACTGAGCAACATCCACAATCTATAAACACAGAAAAACAGAGAAAGAAATTTTATGAACACAATGTAGACATCAACCATTACATAGTTATTTTTCAAATCTTACCTGCCCAATTCCTTTAGTTTTTTCTGAAATTTACAGTGGACTTTCCATTGCCATTTTCCTTCCGGAGTACTGAGTTCTTCGAGGAATGTCAAAAAATTTTTAAGGTTCTCTGTTAGAGATAATGAAGTTCATTTTAAAATTCAATATATAACAGTCACTCAACAAATGAATTATGGAAGAAATGTTTGTTGATACTATATAGGAATATCTACTTTCCTTTGCAGTATTTTCCCTTCGAAGGGAGACAGATACACTCTTAGATTTAAGAACATCTACATAACAAAAAAAAAGAACATGCTGACAACAGTAACAAAGCAGAAGGGATCCAAGTGCAATAGGTGCAGAGAGACTTGCTTTACATCAGATTTAGAGGAAATTATTTGCAGTGACTAAGAGACAAAGAAATCTGAAGTAATAAAAAGAAAATGATGGAAATGTACTCATCCATTCGGCCAATCAGAGAGAACAATACATTTAAAAAGCATGAGTCGTTAATGAGAAGAAAAAAACCTAGAAAGGACAAAAGTTTGTGCTCCAAATAAAGCATAAATCTTACCAATTGTGATAACTTCTGGATTTAGAATGGATTCATCAGACACAATAAAACCGCCAGATACAAATAATTCATTATATGTATGATTTTTAACATCATCCAGACTATCAACACCAGCAAAACTAACGCAAGACAGCTTCTTTAAAGTCACCAAGCCAGGTACCTATTTAAATCCCAAAACAAAAACAGAAATAAGGATAGGTAAGAGAATGAAATGGTTAAGACTCAGGTGTGAAGTAACCTACAAGAAAAGTCTAGCAAAATACAAAAATATTCCCAACATGTCCAAAGACATAAACCAACACTTCCGTACTGGGTACATACCATGAACAGAACACGCTGACGAAAAGGCACCTAAAACAGACCTGGCAATAGAATGATAAAGGCCAACCTGTCCGGCCCTGTGAGTTCAGTCAGAATTCAGAGGAGGGCAAGAGCCCATGCAGTCAGGAGAGCCTTCAAAGGACAGCAGGACTTGAGACAGGTTTCTAAGACTGGATGGGGTACCTCCAAATGCAACGGAAAGGGGAAATGGTTTGGCAAAGAGGGGGTACAAACAGGTTTTACCTGGGACATACAAATGAAGATGACAACAATATAGAGAGAGTCAACAGACCCACTGACATTCAAGGAGTTAAGAGTCTTGATGAGTGACACGGTCTGTCACGTGCCGCAGTTTAAAATTTTGCAGAGGTACAAACTTGATCACAAGCTGATTCACAGATTGTTTAGGTCTCAAGCCCTAAATCTCCCAAACTTGAAGTTTTATCTCTTTTAGACCTTATAAGGATATTTTAAAAACAAACAGCTTTAGCCTCAAAGACAGTAAGATTTTAAAATGAGGGAGTTTTTATAACCAAAATAATAGTGAATTTGACTTAATAGTCTACCTTGTGAATGAAACCTGCAATGTCTTCATTCTGAATAATAATCAATAGTTTATCTAATTTTGATCTTCTTTCCAAAAACTGTTCTGGATGACATTCTGTATTGCCTAATTTGATAAGATATTCCTGTTAAAAAGAAAAACTAAATCAACATTAAAAGGCCTTTTTTGCAAATATCCACCTAACACCAGAAATGCAATATAAACTGGTAAGTAGTCACTCAGTAATGATCACTAATAATGATGACCTTACACTATGGACCTTAGAGATCATCAGGTCCACTCTTCTTATAGAAGAATCTATAGCTCGGAGCTTAAATGGCCATAGTCACAATGTCACAATGCTATGCAATCGAAGCGAAGTAAATGCCAGTGGTGGGTAACAAAAAGAACCATAAGAACAATGAATTAGCCCAGGTTCTTAACCCAGTTCCATTATTTATTCTGGGCAACCCAGAGCCCAATCATTAACGACTCCCTCATCTCATTTTCCTCTCCTTTCAAGGGAAGCCTTTGGTTATTTGCAGCCAGGTTACTGGTATAGTACTCATTCCCTTACAAAGCACTTTTCTGACTACTGGACTCATTTAATTCACAACAATTCCAAAGTCATTCATACAGAGCTTCAGTATGGACCATGGCATTCACATACTATTTAGCCATGTCTGTCCAGTTCACACCTTTCAAATAAAATAGACCCTCCCATCTAATACCTCCCTCCATGTTGGTGACATGGTACTATCAAAGGACACATGGTGGTAGTGCAGGCAGTTTCCGTTGCTCTTTGCTTGCTGGTGGAATCCTGAAGTCTGAGGTAAAATGCAGGTTCCTAGAGGTCATATTCCTCATTTCACAGATATAGATAGGAGATTAATTTTCTCAAGGTTGGCAAGGCTGGTTAGACAGCCATTAAATCTAAACCCAGCTTCCCTCACAACCAGTCTGCTGCTCTATCAAGAACAGTCAACAAGCATCACCCCAAAGGGGATGTTTCTGTGTAGTCCTGAACTAAAGCAGCATCTTCTATATTATTAGATTTTTGCTCTAACCTCTAAAGCTTCAGGGCAGATCTCAGAACAGCTTACAGACAGGTAATGAGAAGATAAATTATAGGCCAGCTTGTAATTTTTGATCTTTTTACATTAAGAAGCTTTAACTGCAAATTCATTTTAAGACCCCTGAACTCTTATAATAATAAATCCACTGAACTCCAGAATTATTCAGGAAGCTTAAAATGTTTTTGATAGTATTTTTATTCTATTTTAACATTTTTGCTGGATAAATTTTCCAATGGAGGTTGATTAAAAACTAAAGTTCTGATCTGACCTCCTATCAGATTTGAAAAACACACAGCATCCTTCTCTTCTTCTACATGAGTAATAAAAATAGGATTTATTCTATGCTAGAATGAATTAAATGCACCAGAAGTCAATACATTTTCTGTGAGTGTGATACAATTAGTTTACAAAATGTGGTGGGGAAGGTGCGATAAATGCTGAGCACACTGTGGAACTCTATCCACTCTATTCTCTCATCGAGACAGGCAGCTATTGCCCCCACAAGTACTGTGCTTGAACCTGTTGCTGGGAGTGGAAAAAGTTAAGAAGCTCTACATTCAATGATACAGGGCAAAAATGCAACCAAGAAACTCCTACTAAGTCTGGTTTCATCTTCCCAAGAAATCACAGGGATTTAGTAGTAGAAAAGGCACACTGAGCACTCTTCCTCCTCCATTTCCATGTTCTTCATGTTCTCATGGGCATGCTACATGAAACATGCTGGCATCAAAGAGATTCCCAAACTGACAAAAGCTCAGAACATCTCAGCAGCAGAGTTTCTGGGCCACTCTTGCCTACAAGGCACTTATTTATAGTACCTTCTGCTTCCTCTAATAAAACAAGCAGAAATCCGTCATGGTAAGTTAATTCCATAATGGGAGCAGGCATTTATTTTAAAACCTATGCCATTCCCTGAAGGGATTAAAATCCTAGAGTTTAGTAAATACTAACTGTTATTATTAAAACACTGATACAACTGTTCTTGTATGTCATAATTTACCTATTGTTACAAATTTTATAGATCTATGTCTGTATCTACACACACACACATACATGCATGTATTTTTAAAAATCAAATACTTGAAACACTAGTCTTACTCTGTAGCTTCAGTAGAAAAAAAATATACCTTGCAGTGAGGAATCTTTCATGATTGGGGAGTCTTTCAGGATCATGTTTTTTGATCAAAAAGGCTGTAGGGAACCCTGATATGACCAGGGTATCAAGAAATGCCAAAAGATTATATATATCATTAGGTCATCCCTGGACAGTTTTTTTTTATTTGACTGATAAAAAACCCCGTAAGAAGTAAACACTGACAGCTTCTTCTACCTCTGTATCTTTCCCATTAAAAACCCAAGTAAGAAACATTTAAAATCTTTGAAATCAACAGTTTAAAGGTATTTGCAGTGTACATACAAATGGTCTTTAAAATCACTGATAAAACAAGATTCTAAATTCTAAGATACTTAGATCAGAGGTTCTACATTTAATTGAACTTACTAGTCTTATTCCACTCTGTATCAAATTATGAAAACATATGGTCAACATTTAAAAACAAAAAACCCTCCATTTAATAGAGATCAGACCCAACAAGACAAGTTTATATAGCATTACTATTATTAATACCTTCTCATTTAGTTACCTTTATTTCTTTACAGAGCACACTCTCTTCTTCTTCATGAATATAAAATTTCACAGTATTTTTCTGGACATCTTTCATGATTTTAACCAAACTGTTAAATACTTCAGGTTCTAACTGGCTTATAAAATTTGAAAGAGCTGGTTGGGCAGAAATGTTTACATCACTGGGCGATTTTGTTGTTTCTTTTTCTACTGGTTCCCGGGCAGTATCACCAGGTACAGTATGATCAGAAGTCACCATCAGCTCTGTAGCATGGTGTGGCTGGTTCACTTCTACTTCGGTTAAACCCAAAGTTGAAGAGGAATGCTGCTCACTGGAGTTGCTGTCTTTCAAAGTATCACTACAAAGTGGCTCAAGGAGCTGTTTACTGTTGAAGTCACTTGAGGAAACTGGTAGGACAGCCTTTCCCAGAGGATTCAATGCTATCTTACTACCAGAATCATTAGGACTGACTGGTGGCAAATTCCCACCCTTGGCCGATGCTTTGATAATAATAGTATTTAGTTTCTCATGCAAGCCATCTACAAACTCCTGTACACCAGCTTTGGAAGTCTTAGAACATATGAACTCAGAAAGCCGTTTCATCTTCTCTTGTGTTGAAAAAACAGGTGTGGAAATTCTACTGACATATGAAACATTCTTTTGCTTCAGAATCTCTTCTATCTTCCTAGAAAAGAGATTGTACTCTCCTAACACTGTCCTCTCTGTGGTCTCACTCATTGTGGGCGGCTCTGCTGCTGGCACACACTGCTCCTCCACTGTCACCACCTGACCTGTCACCACGTCATCCTCAGTGGTGCCCTTCAGTGTGTCTGTAAATGGAGAGGATTGAAACTGGTAATCAGAACCTCGCTGTCTACTTATTACCCGGGGGTCGTTAGGAAAGGCCTCCTGTGGTGGCAGACACACCAGTTGTTCTTCTGGTGATTTCATACCTATATAGGAAGAGTTCATTATTACAAGAGCAATCCAAAAACATAACATCTGAAAACACAAACTCGTAAATAGGAATGTCAGATCAAAGTATATATTCAGAACTAATTACGCACTGGAAAGTAGAATAAAAATCTCAAATGATGGTATGAACCCCCATTTTCTATGTAGCCTACTTATGGCTGGTCTTGGGATTTCAGTAGCTAGAGTAACAAGTTTGGATGTTATTTTCTTTGATTCCTTTTGAAGTGTTCGAACATGTGCCAATTTGGCATCCATATAAATTAAGTTTGCTTATTTCTGCTTCCCAGATAGATCTATCGGGGGAAAAAAAGGTTCAATAATATTGAAGAGAACATATTTCATATCTGCATTAACAGTAACACTCTTGAGATGAAGAGGTCATTCAGCTACCTGATGTTAATGGAACCAAACTGACTTTTGACAATAAGCTCAATTCATAGATTGTACTTTTTTCCCAGAAATTCTAAATTTAAACACAGTGTTTTTAAAACTACATTTCAAAACAGATACCCTAAGTCCCTTTTTAAAAGACAAGGGGAAAATATGTGTAACGGCAATTTATAGTACTATTTTAGGAAAAGAAAAAACATTTGTGCTCTTTGCCTAGATGATTATTATACAATTTTATTTTAATTAACTTTCCTTAGATCTTAGCCAATATTTCCTAACAAATTGCTGTTGTAGTCTATGAAATGGTACCTCTATATCAGGAAGTTGCAGGTACAAGTATAGTTTTCAAAACTATAGTACTTTATTTTTTGTTGTTGTTTTTTAAAGATTTTATTTATTTATTTGAGACAGAGAGAATGAGAGACAGAGAGCATGAGAGGGAGGAGGGAGGGTCAGAGGGAGAAGCAGACTCCCTGCTGAGCAGGGAGCCCGATGCGGGACTTGATCCCGGGACTCCAGGATCATGACCTGAGCCGAAGGCAGTCGCTTAACCAACTGAGCCACCCAGGCGCCCAAAACTATAGTACTTTAAAGATACAGTGAATTCCCTGTTCAAGTTTGCAGTCAGGTGTGGCAACATACCCTCTCCACACAAATTCAGTTTTGGTTTTCCTCACACACTTTTCTAAAGCTCTTAACAGCCTCTGCAGCAGTCAGCTTGTGACATTTCTCCACCAACCCTGGTAGTTACCATGAACCACTCTACCCATTAACTACTACAAAGGCACCTGCTGGCAAGTAAGAAGACCACAACAGGTCTGTAGGTGGAAGAAGAGTAGGGGAGCAAAATATCCAATGTACCAAGGTAAGAATTAAAACTGTATGAAACTGATAAACCAGAAATTCAAGTTCCATAAAATAACTGCAGAATACAGAACATCCTTCTTAAATCTGCAACATGGAGTTTAGTGCACACATAAAATGTCTGGAAGGATACATAAGAAATTTGTAAGAGGCTGATCCATGCAATGAAACTAAATGTCTGAGATAGGGCTGCAAGACTTTTTGAAGTATTTTAGATTTTGAAATATTTTTGTACTTCTTACGTACCATATCAAATATCTGATTTATTTAAATAAAAACATTTTAAATTATACCTTGTAAAACAAACGGGTTGGGAAATACCACCTATAATTTTTAAACTTCCAATTATGTATTATTTCAAATGAAATACCTGCTCCCAAGATGTATAGCTGTAGTTCAGACCAATAAGTTTACACCTGAAGGGCTATGGATAAAGCTGAATGAAGCTTAAATCCATGTAGGGAATTTTCCATATTAAAAAAGTCTAAACAAATCCCTTTTAAAAATGCAAATTACCATCACCTAATTCTACTGTCACACATTTCCCCTATAAGATTCTAATCACTAAAATTGACTTTATTTAAAAAAATGTCTTCATCGGTAAATGATTTAAAGGAAACACGTCAATATCAAAAATGCATGTTTTCTACTGATTGTCATTCAAGCACTGCAGTACTTTGACTTTGAAAGGGGAATAGTGAGTTCTCTAAAGGCAGCATCATTCACGTATTTCCATTTTCAATCACAAAATATAAAGAGGGTATGACAAATAAGAGAGGACTGCAGATGCCAATGGCACATGCTGAAGCATAAACAAGATACCTGGCTGCTGTTTTTTTTGTTTTTTTTTTAAGATTTTATTTATTTATTTGACAGAGAGAGAGAGAGAGAGCGAGAGCAGGAACACAAGCAGGGGGAATGGGAGAGGGAGAAGCAGGCTTCCCATGGAGCAGGGAGCCCGATGTGGGACTCGATCCCAGGACTCTGGGGATCGTGACCTGAGCTGAAGGCAGACGATTAACGACTGAGCCACCCAGGTGCCTGATACCTGGCTGCTTCTAATGAGAAAGAATTACTGACAGATATAAAATAGGTGAATCCCAGACATAATGTTGAGTGAAAGAGCCAAAAACAAAGCAAGACATGTGTAGGTTCCATTTACCTTAAATTTAAGAACAGGTAAAACTAATCTATGGTAAAAGAACTTAGATTAGTGGTTACTGTTGGGCCAGGGAGAGTACTGACTGGAAGGATACAAAAGAAAACCTGGAGGTGTTGGAAATGTCCTACATCTTGATTTGGGTAGTGGTAACATAAGTCTATACACATGTAAAAACCCACTGAGCTGTGTACTAAAGATTAATGCACTTCCCTGTATGTCATATATTTGTTCCTATTTTGGTTTTTTTGGTCATTTTTCCTAGGAGGAGACAAAAGATTTTCTTAAAATCATTCAGTCTTTTTTTAATTCCGCAGAGAGGAAAACCATAAAGATCTACTAAAATTAAGCCACTTAGCTTTCCTTCCAAATTAAGAAAAAAAAACCCACTACCACTTAAGATTTCTGAAAGAGTAAGACATAAAGAAATGGAAACAAACAAGAAAGGCCCACCACCACACTCTAAGCAAGAAAACAATGCCTATGACCATCTGCAGAGATGCTGAATGGACTGAATTCAGACAAAAGAAAAGGTCTTCTAAGAACCAACAGCAATTAGCTAATCAGCAACATCTGTAACTGTTTCTGGAATCCCAGAGTTTCCTAATCTCTTATTTACAACACTACCTTATTTATTTATTTATTTATTTATTTATTTTTATTTATTTTTTTTTTTTAAAGATTTTATTTATTTATTTGACAGAGAGAGAGACAGCGAGAGCAGGAACACAAGCAGGGGGAGTGGGAGAGCGAGAAGCAGGCTTCCTGCCGAGCAGGGAGCCCGATGTGGGACTCGATCCCAGGACCCTGGGATCATGACCTGAGCCAAAGGCAGACGCTTAACGACTGAGCCACCCAGGCGCCCAACACTACCTTATTTAAATAATCAGAAAAAGAACTGGGTCAAAAAACTCAAGATTAGGGATAATGAACCTGAAAGATAACTGGTCTCAATCCTTGTATTTTTTAAACTTAAAAGAAACCTGAAGAGTGTTTCTCACAGGATATTCTACAGAAATGGATTAAGAAAAATACTCCAATCTTCCCAAGTCATCGTATCAGATAGAATCACTATAGTGAAAAAAACTTAATCTCTACGAATATTCAGTGACTTCTTTAAACACATTCTTTGTACAAGAATATTTGATACAAATCAAATAATGATTTTAAATGCAAATATTATCCAAATTTTCTGTAATTAACAGAACTCAAAATGATGCCCTATTGATAGAGAACCAGAAATACAAGTAGCAATCCTGAAGAAGGCACATTGGGAGGAAAAGCAAAGGGAGCCTTCTCACCTGGTGTTTGTTTCTCACCATGTTTCCCCAGCTGGTCTTCTGGGCTTCTTGCATTCCCTCCTGAGGGAAAACATCCATTAGATTTGTAGACGCTCTTCAGATACTGGTGATACCTATTAAGCACCTTTCAGACAACCCCAAATGCTAACAAATCCAAGTACTCCATCTTTTGCCTAAAATAATCCAGAAGGGTCATTCAGAAATAGAAGTTGCTTCCCTTTCCATTCAGATGATGACGGAATATCAACACCTAGATGCTGTGCCTTCAAATGGCTCTGAACATCAACTATGAAGCTATCTAAATGAGGAATGGTTAGGATAATCATTTGTATTGACTACTTTCTTACTGTTTCTCCCCATTCAAGCCAACATCTCCAGCTCTTAAGTACAAGTTACTTCTCCACCATCACTTCTAGGCCTCTCGCCCTCTCTGGTAAGGTACTAAGTAGAGAATGGTGCTGAAGCCCATGGAAACTCATCAAGTTTTAGAAATTCTTCTCAGAGTCCTTGGAGGTCTCAGTAGCTTCTTTCTAGGTCACAAGCCAGTCTAACTTTTTAGCAAAAAGTTGTTTTTTTTCCTTTTTAAAGATCTAGGAATGGAAAAGATGTGCCCTGGGAATATTTCCAAAAATGCTTAGCTAACAAAGATGAGTAAGAACTTGAAATATTAAGAGCATGTTTCTATGTGTGTGTGTATATGTATGTGTTTCCACAGAGAAATCAGAATACTGCAAAATGATCTTTCAACATTTATTAACCTAGTCTTGCCCCATGGTCCAATAAGCTTTCTAGGGATTTCTGCATTTGATCATTTCAGGCCACTCTCTGTGATGAGCTAATTTCTCTAAGATAATCCAGTTATTAAGAAATCAGTTTTTTTTTCAATAGATGAACCTCAACATGACCACTTCTTGGATGACAGCTTCTTATGGTGAAGTTTACTCTAATAATTTGAGATGACAGCATTTAATCTGTTGTCCCAAAGACCATCATTTCATCTCTGTCACTACCTCACCTTATTAGAAACTCAATTTCTGTCAACAACATTCATTTGGAAGTCTGCACGCTAAACTCCATTGGGAAAGTATGTTTTAAATCCCTCTGCTTTTATAGGCTGTTTTGCAGATAACTTGCTGATGCTGACCAAAACTAGCAACAATCAGTGATGAACATTACATTGCTCAAAATAAGATACAAAGATGAACCAAAAAGACGAACCACCCAGTGACCCAAGAACGGAATCTAGAAAAGATGAAACCCTTCAGGAAACTGCTAAGTAAAACCAAGCAAACCAAAGTCCCAGTATACTTGTTCTTACCTGTAATTGGAATTAGTTTCCAATGTATTTCAGTCTCTTCGACATTATTTGACTTAGATTGTCTGCGGAATCCATGTTCAATGGGAACAGTGGGACACAAACTGCAATCTTCAAAATTATTCATGCTAATTAAATTTGGATCCTAAAAATTAGAGTACATATTCAATAGCTTTCTTTTCAATTAATTTTTACGTCCAGAATAAACAAGTAGGCTCCACACCCAATGTGGGGCTTGAACTCACAACCCTGAGACCAAGAGTCGCATGTTCCACTTCTTTTTTTGATAGCAAATCCACAAGCTTCAATCTAAACATTACAAATGAGTAAAATCAGCACGGCAAAGTTAAAATACTCTGGTCTTTAATTAAAACACAATGTTTCCCCTCAAAACATAATTTGATGTTGATTTAGAGCACAGGTTGGTAAGCTTTTTCAGTAAAGCACCAAATATTTTAGGCTTTGTGTGCCAGATACTCAGGTCTGCCACTGTAGTGCAAAAGCTGCCAGAGGAAATACCTAAACAAATGGCTGTGTTCCTCTGTGTTCCACTAAAACCTTAATTACAAAAATAGGCAGTGGGTGGGGACACCCAGGTGGCTCAGTCACTTAAGAATCCGGCTCTTGATTTTGGCTCAGATCATGATCTCAGGGTTGCAAGATTGAGCCCCATGTTGGGCTGCCTAAAATTCTCCCTCTCCCTCTCCCACACGCACGCACTCTAGCTTTCTCTCCAAAAAATAAAAAATAAAATTAAAAAAGGCAGTGCGCAGAGTTTGGCCCATGCTCCCATCGACTCTAATTTAGAGTATTAAATATGTCAGGAAATGTTAATAATGTAAGTTAGTTACATAAGTTACATACTTCCCCAAGTGGGTCTCCTACCATCATCCTCCTAAAATAATGGAGAAAGCCTGGGGACATGCATATGACTTTTATTCAAAGGCAGGGAAGAGAAATCGGAGGGAAAAGTGAATTAGAAATAAACCCTTAGGAAAATGGGGCCATCCTGTTATTGTTATTCCCCAGAGATGCAGCCACTTTCTGGGGGAGACAAGGTTACTTCTCAGCTAGAGATCAGTACTCTCTAAGGTTGCTTCATAAACAAACTGCATGTCCTGTCAAGCAATGCTGAGAGACATTTCAGAGATAATCCTTAAAGGACACTCACTTTCCATTCTTACTTGCATGAAAAATACTAAGTACCTAATCTTGTTTCTATCACTTTTGGCCAGCAGAAAGCCAATCTTTTTGAGGATTCAATTTTATTAGCCATATATAAGCCGATATATATAATCCTATAAGCAGGAAGGAAAACAGCTACTTCTGCATTTATCCCTTTGTAACAAGGAATAACTTAGAAATACTCCGCTGGACAGATACTTTCATTGCAATGTGCATTTTCTTTCTTTTTGAAAGGGAAAAAATCCCACTGAAACACACCTACATCCTCTTTCAGACACACATTCACAAACCAACAAAGATAATCAAAAGACATATGCTTACTTCTTTCAAATGTAGTTTATGGTCAGTGCCTGCTTCACTGGTAGAAACAGCAATAGGATACTTTAACAATGATGTATCAACTTCTAGCAATGGGCTCTGAGTGCCCTTAAAATGCACATTTTCCATTTTTGCACAAGTAGGCTGCTCATATTCTTTCTTATCTGGGGGAGAGTTCAACTCATACTCATGCTTTTGCCTCAGCTCTTCACAGGCGTCATCAGTGTTCAATCCTAGGGCTTTGTTGACTGTGTCTGTCAAGGATGCATCAGAATGACGTGCATTTGCCAGTGTTTCTGATAGCCAATTAAACAGCCGATGGATATCAGCAACACCGGAGTTAGAGGTATCCTGCCGCTGCTGTCTCAAATCAACATCGTGCCCAAGAGAGCCAACAGGCTGCGAAGACTCTGAAGGGAAAGAGAAAGAAAACCCATCTCTTAAAGTCAAGGTTGGAATGTTTGTATAAAAATTTAAATATCAAATATATCTAAAAATTAATTATCATAAGATATTTATGGGCAGGAATCCAATCAGACCACTGGTTTAGACTGCACAAGTACATCCATCCCTTTCTTTACAAATATAACTAGTTCTAAAATTTTGCACACAGCGGGCACCCAGGGTCTTGGGATAGAGCCCGCATCAGGCTCCTTGCTCAGAGGGGAGCTTGCTTTTCCCTCTCCCTTTGGTGCTCCCTCTGCTTATATGCTTTCTCTTTCAAATAAATAAATAAAATCTTTAAAAAATAGTAAGAAAAAAATAAATAAAATTTTGCACACAGCTAAAAATTCCCATAAATGAAAGTTTATTTTCATCATAATTTGAAAATTGTATTAATGGAGAAATGAGCTCAGACATCATGTTGGTAGTATGGATAATATATATTAATATATTAATACCTGTACTGTAGTTATCTTAAACTCTACTACCAAAATCCCAATCAGTTTAATCCGTTTTATCTGACTTGAAAACAGATAAAATATCTGTACTTGCTATTTTGCAAAATGTTAGAGGAGGATATGCAGATTACATTTAAATCTACTAAAAAAACAAACCATGGCTTAATTTGATTTCTATCTCCTCTACACCTATTAGATTTTGTCTTTAAGATATCGACATTCTTGGGGCGCCTAGGTGGCTCAGTTGGTTGGACGACTGCCTTCGGCTCAGGTCATGATCCTGGAGTCCCGGGATCGAGTCCCGCATCGGGCTCCCTGCTCAGCGGGGAGTCTGCTTCTCCCTCTGACCCTCCTCCCTCTCATGCTCTCTGTCTCTCATTCTCTCTCTCAAATAAATAAATACAATCTTTAAAAAAAAAAAAAAGATATCGACATTCTTATAAATCTAAAACCTTATCTTGAAAGACTAATTTCATAACAAAACTAACATACTAGAGATACAAAATCATCCTGAAGCAAGCCATACCAAACTTGCACTAAGACCAAAAAGTACTATGAAAGAAAACATGTTAAGACATGGTTACAAGCAGGTATAAATCTGGGTAATATGCATTATACCATTATTAAAAACCTGCAAAGGGAGCAGACATTCAGAAAGTCATGTGCTTTTTAATGCTGAAGGAGGATAAAGCCTGGATAGATGCCAGGATTTCCAATTTAAGCAGGGTATAATGTACCACCGGGAGAAAAAAAAATTTAGAAACAACAAAGTACATCCTGTATGATTCTACCTATATGAATTATAAAAATCATAGAAGTGGAAAAACTAATACATAAAGACAGAAAGCACATCAGTGGTGGGGTGGGGTGAGATTACAAAGGAGTGTAAGGTAACATCTGGGGGTAATGAAAATGTTCTATAAATTGGAGTGGTGGTAACATAACTATCAAAATTCATCTTTAAGCTGTACCCTCAAAATGGGCATATTTTATGTAAATCATACCTCAAAAAGGTTAATGTAAAATGGGGTAGGGAAGATAGGAGGTTACCGCTTATAAAATGAGTGGGTTCACCACCAAATCAAGATGAGGGTATTTTTTTTTTTTTAAAGATTTTATTTATTTATTTGAGAGAGAGAAAATGAGAGAAAGCACATGAGAGGGGGGAGGGTCAGAGGGAGAAGCAGACTCTCTGCTGAGTAGGGAGCCCGATGCGGGACTCGATCCCGGGACTCCAGGATCATGACCTGAGCCGAAGGCAGTCGCTTAACCAACTGAGCCACCCAGGCGCCCAAGATGAGGGTATTCTAAAAGTTAGAATCCAACCTTTAAATCTCTATTTTCAGAAATCAAAAATAAAGTATACAAAATAACTAAAAAGAAACACAAATGAGGAACACCTAGAAATGCAAGTCTGACTGTCACTAGTTCTAGTTTAACCTATCTCCCCCTTCTCCCCTGCCCTACTTCTACTTTGGTCTATTGGCATGGCTTTCCCTCCATTTTAATTATTGATAAAGCCTGACTGTCACCCACAACTATTTTTTTACATATACAAAATTAGTCAATTATCAGCTAAAACAGTACTGAAATTTAAATATCTTAACCATTATGTGCCAGTGCTAGTAAATACAGCCAAGTTTAGGAAAAATTTTTTGTCGGTCACAACTAAGTTATGAATTAAACATGGATTAATGAACTACATAACTTTAGCTTCTACAGATTTTCTCATCTGTAAATTAAGGATAATCATGTCTACTACTCAAGAACTAAATGAGTCCATATATGTAAAGTACCTGGCACATGGTAAGCACTTAATTCTCAAGATACCAGGTCAACAGTGTAAGACAGTGCAGATCAGTAAATGTCAATAGGTTCAGCATGGTGTAAGCTAAAGGAAATAGAAACCATCAAGAAGTGGAATAGCCATAAATCTAGGGAGGGATATGAACTGCAAAGATATGCAGCTTGAGAGAAATGAAAGATGCTTCAGGAAGAAAGAGGAGTGTAAAGTGCTGACTATGACATATTCTGAGGAGAGATGAACCCTAATCAAGGAATATGTGAAAAAAGAATGGGAAACATGGTTACCCAGGTGGGACATGGCCAGCCTATAAAAAACTTTTGAAAAGACTAATACAAAGCTGAGACTGGAAGAATATAAGACTGAAATGGTTGACGGATGCCAGGAAAGCCACCCAAGAGGTTAAGAACAAGATGAAAATGTTGGAAAGAAAAAGAGAACACAGGTCAAGTAAAGAAAAAACACTTGAAAGTTACTGAAGACAACAGCCTTGTCAAACAGAACTTTCTGCAATGATGGAAATGTTCTCTATCTGTGCTACTTCAATACAGTGGTATGGCTTATGAAATGTTCCAAGTATAATACATGAAATGAATTATTTCATTTTAATTTAAAATTAAATAACAACACGTGGCCAGTGGCTGCCATATGTGCAGAAAGAGAAGAAGTAAAGGAGAGCAGATTAAGTGAAAAGTAACTGAGGATACAAGCACTGATTGCTAAGAGAACAGTAAAAAAACACTGATTTAACCTAGTCAGTTCTGAAACACACTGAATTTGAACATATACAAGTAAAACAGCTTAGTAAGAAACAGGAATGGCATACTGATATCTGCCATAAACAAGAACAGCAGCAGCACAAAATTCAAAGGTCCATGAACTCAAAGAAGACATTTCATGCTTATTTTAGCAGTGGGAAGATATTAAAAATCTAGATGAAAAAATGTTTAGAATACTTGAAATATTGAAACACACACTTAAAAGAAGGGTCTCCCATTTCTGTCTTTAACTGTCAACTAAAACAAAGAAAAATAGAAAAAAGAAAAAGCCAAACATATTACTGGACTGACTCCTGGGGTAGAAAAAAATGTGTATGCATCTAAGAAATCGAATTTTAAAGCTCAGAAGGTTCCTTACACTAAGCAATATGCTAGAAGAACCCAATATTTAATGTACTTGTACTAAAAGGACAAGAACTCCAATTAATAGGATAACAGCCAAGCATACTTTATTTTCCTCATATTTGCCTAAGCTACACAATTCAGAAATCTGATGTACTTTCTTTACAAAAACAGGGGACAGGCTGGATTGGTTCTGAGGCTGTAACTTGCAGACCCCTGTACTAGGGGAAAGGACAGAACTACTTTACTATATTTTTGGTTGTTATTTTTATACTGTGTAAAAGCAACCTGATATTTTTACCTTCATACAGATGGCAATTTTCAGATAAATTACTGGTTTTGGCGAGCTTTCTCATATTTTCAGGTAGATCCTCAAGCTTCCTCTTCAAGACAGTTTTGCTTCTCATATCTTCCGTGTCTGAGTCCCCACCCACATTTTTTTTCCTACACTGAATTAAATTAATCAATTCTTTGACTCTATCCTTATCATAATCCAAAGAGTGAGAGGACTTCTGCTTTCTAGGTATAATGGTTTCACCCCTTGAGTTATTTCGTTTTCCAAATTTCATTTTTGTACCATTCATTTCTTCTTCTTGGCCTTCATAATCTGAGAGTGGACTGAACTGTTGAAGTTTCCTATTTTCTTCAAAAAGCTCTTTTAATTTACAAATTGGTAACTGATACATTTCAGGCCGAAAAATATAGGCATGCAAACAATTATCAATGTGGGATTTATTTTTTGGAGCTGAGTATAAGAATTTTTTATCATCTAATCGTGAATCGTATGGAAACATGATAAACTCTCGTTTACCTGAACCAAAACCTCGCTTAAAAAATTCATTTACATATTTTTCAACAACAGAATGAAAATTTATAGTATTTATATTTTTGAATTCCTTTCGACACTGAATCAAAGCAAACTGTAAAAACTGAGTTATTTTTAATACATCTGTCATGCTCTCATGTCTCTTCTGTGGTGTTGCATTAGTTGAACCTTTTTGTGCTGTAAACAAACAAAAAAGCAAACCATGTTAGCAATCAAGAATCAAACACAGATCTACATTTTGTCAAAGAAATGCAACAACATTCATACATTAATGGTAAACCAAACCAAGAGTATGTACCCTAATACATATATGCAATATAGAAATAAATGAAGAATACTGCTTCTAAAAACAGGCCAATAAGAAACTAAAACAAAATTGTAGGAGATATTTTTAAAGGGTAAAACACCCACTCATTGAAGATCTTCATTTCTTATTGTCCCTAGGGATTGAACTGGTGGCAAGCAAAATGTAAAGAGAAATAAAGAAGCAAGGCAAGATCTGAGACTCCTAGCAAGAGAATCCTGCAACTGATAGCAATGTCACTCCTTCCTACTATACTGTAATAAGTTTAACTTTACATTAATGTTCTATCCCCACACCAGATATCTAAACACCAAGTGGCTACAATTGAAAATGTCATTCTTAATCTAACAATGAAACCCATCAGTGTGAATTTTACCTTAATATAGCATTGAAGTATGTTCTTAGGAACAGTGAACAGCAAATTTTCTCTAACACCAGTGTGAAAAATTTTTTATTAATTTTAAATGGCCTAAATTTAACCTAGCACATGATCCTTTTATTGTTGCTAAAATCTGAATGCAAAAATGAACTCAGCTAAAAAATTCTAATAATATAAAACCCTAGAAAACGAAGCCACTACAGTATTTTAATAATTACAATCAATGTTTACTTAGTGAAAACAATGGTAACACCCAAAAATTTTCCACTAAAAAATAATCAGGTCATATATAATTTGTTTTATTTGCTAATACCTCTTAATACCCCCAGTATTTCCCAAAATATAAGAAACAAAATGTTTACTGAGTTATCTGAAAAATTTCAATGAAATGTAAGTATCAGTGACTTGATTTAGATATTCAAAGAACTTACAAGTAACTATGCCTCTAGGTTCTTGAAATAGAAATAAAGCATGTAGCACTCGAGACTTGGCAGTCTGATGTTCTAAAAAAACAGAAGCCAAACTGATTAGCAATATGTTCTAACAAAAAAATTAAAAAGAATTGTAAAAATTAAAGAGATCACCTACCATATGGAGAAACCATTTGACAAGGAGAGAGAAGAAAAAGGTATCCGCGGTCTCCCAAAGGTTTAACAAGAACCTGCATTTTTGGAAGAGGGAAGAATTTGAATCTGCTTCATTATTACTCATCATAAGGCAGGCACACAGCAGTTTCTAATAATTGTAAAGAAAACAAGTTATTGATAGTCTTTCTTTAGGAAAAATAGTTACCAAATTAAAAACTCTACCAATTGTGATTAACAGAATTCCAAACAAAAATTCCCTAGTTTTCATACAAGTAAAAACAAGAAAATATTCCTGAATAAATTTCCCTAATTAACTGTGAAACCAACTTGATTTTTCCTTGACACTAAAATACAAGGACCACATTAAAGACTTCAAATATCTTCCTCAACAATTCAAAAGACATGTTATTAATTGCCAAGGCAGTGTGCTAGATGTTGGGGGTATAAAACAAGTATAGCACAAACATTACCTTTCATGAGTTCAAGCTAATCTCAAATGAAATGTGTTGCTATAATCTAGTTCTTCACATAGTTAATGAACACCTTTCAACATAAGGCAATTTGCCTTGCCAGAAATAACTTCAAAGACAAGCAACACAAGAGCCTTGATCATGAGAAATTTATAACTGGGTGGAGAGTAACACAAGAAATATCAATAATTATTCAAGACAGAAAAGTTCTCAAAAAGATACACAAAACAACAGGAAGAGAAAAAATATAGTTTATAGTTGGAAAAGATACTGAGAGTGTACTTCAGGTGGATTTTGAAGGATGGGAACACTGCCAAGAGCCTAAGATTATGGGAAGGACATTTCAATAGAGTCAACATCATGAGCAAAGGCAGAATTGTAACTGATGAATGGTTTGCAGGCATTAGAGTATTTATGACTAGCAAAAGGGTGATGACAGACTAGGACAAACATACAAGTCTAGAAGGAAAGATTGTGGGCTCGACTGTAAAAAGACAAGAATGCCAGGTTAGCCAGGAATGCCCTTAAGGGTACATGCCCTTGACAAAAACAGACACACAGATCAATGGAACAGAAGAGAGAGCCCAGAAATGGACCCTCAACTCTATGGTCAACTCATCTTCGACAAAGCAGGAAAGAATGTCCAATGGAAAAAAGACAGTCTCTTCAAGAAATGGTGTTGGGAAAATTGGACAGCTACATGCAGAAGAATGAAACTGGATCATTTCCTTACACCACACAAAAAAAGAGACTCAAAATGGATGAAAGACCTAAATATGAGACAGAAATCCATCAAAATCCTTGAGAACACAGGCAGCAATCTCTTTACCTCAGCCGCAGCAACTTCTTCCTAGAAACATCGCCAAAGGCAAAGGGAAGCAAGGGCAAAAATGAACTGGGACTTCATCAAGATAAAAAGCTTTTGCACAGCAAAAGAAACAGTCAACAAAACCAGAAGACAACGGACATAATGGGAGAAGATTTTTGCAAATGACATATCAGACAAAGGGCTAGTATCCAAAATCTATAAAGAACTTATCAAACTCAACACCCAAAGAACAAAGAATCCAATCAAGCAATGGGCAGAAGACATGAACAGACATTTCTGCAAACAAGACATCCAAATGGCCAACAGACACTGAAAAAATGCTCAACATCACTCGGCATCAGGGAAATCCAAATCAGAACCTCAATGAGATACACCACCCCACACCAGTCAGAATGGCTAAAATTAACAAGTCGGGAAACGACAGACGTTGGCGAGGATGCGGAGAAAGCGGAACCCTCCTACACTGTTGGTGGGAATGCAAGCTGGTGTAGCCACTCTGGAAAAACAGTATGGAGGTTCCTCAAAAAGTTGAAAATACAGCTACCCTATGACTCAGCAATTGCACTACTGGGTATTTACCCCAAAGATACAAATGTAGTGATCCGAAGGGGCAGGTGCACTCCAGTGTTCATAGTAGCAATGTCCACAATAGCCGAACTATGGAAAGTGGCTAGATGTCCATCAACAGATGAATGGATAAAGAAGATGTGGTATACATATATACAATGGAATATTATGCATCCATCAAAAAAAAAAAAAGAAATCTTGCCATTTGCAACAACGTGGATGGAACTAGAGGGTATTATGCTAAGCAAAATAAGTCAATCAGAGAAAGGTAAGTATCATATGATCTCACTGATATGAGGAATTTGAGAAACAAGACAGAGAATCATAGGGGAAGGGAGGGAAAAATGAAACAAGATGAAACCAGAGAAGGAGACAAACCATAAGAGACTCCTAATCTCAGGAAACAAACTGAGGGTTGCGGAGTGGAGGGGGGTGGGAGGGATGGGGTAGCTAGGTGATGGACACCAGGGAGGGTAGGTACTATGGTGAGCTCTGTGAATTGTGTAAGACTGATGAATCACAGACCTGAAACAAATAGTACATTATATGTTAATTTAAAAAATTTAAAAAAAAAAGTATATGCCCTTTTGAACTGGAGTTCAAAAAACAACAAAGGAAACCTCAACAGCACTGTGCAGGAGAGGGAAAGAAAACAATGTAATGCAAAGAAAGTTCATGAGCTACTGCAATTGTTCGCAGTATGTTTTAGATTAAAGAAAGGGGAAGTAAAGGAAGATCTAAGGATGACAGTTGAACACAAAAGGGTTATCTGGGCTCTGAAAGGAAATATGTGCTACCTAAATTCCTATTAAACAATTCCAGTAAACAAAGTCTGTGTAGGAACCCGTACTTTAATGGACAAAAAGTGACTGCTATCAACTTATATTTAATAAAAACACTGAACAGCCAGAAGATGGACAACGTACATGCAAAATTCTTGTTTCAAACTTAAATTTATTTTATGTATTTTGAGAGAGAGCATGCACAGGGGGGCGGGGGGAGTGGGGGCAGAGGAGAGAAAGAATCTCAAGCAGACTCCCTGTTGAGCACACAGCCTGACACGGGGCTCGATCTCACAACCCTGGGATCATGACCTGATCAAGAGTCAGACACTTAACCTACTGAGCCACCTGCATACCCCCAAAACATTTTACATATCATATCCCTTTTAACATTTTACCCAACTCTTGGTTTGTCAGAACACGAAGCTGGGAAGCATGAGTAAGATTTTCATGTTTTGTGGTCATTAAGGAAAAACAGATTATTTTAATGTTTCATTTAATGTTTCACCCACTCCAATACCAGGTTTATAAAAATTCCTTTGGCTCAGTGCCATAAAGACCCTTGTCTTCTAAGGAGCCTCAACATCCCCAGAGACCCATGGCCCACAGGGAATCCACACACAGAAACAACACTCTGGCAGACAGAGGCCCTAACAGTAGTATCTTTGCCTTTAGCTCCCAGAAACACTTTAAATGCTGTAGGATAAAGAAAGACCTATGAACTCCATGCTTCTGCTGCCTCTATTACACCTTACTGTTTTCTTCCCCTCAGAAAACAGTATTAACCCAGTCTGCCAATTTTTATTACTTGATTCTACTACTTTGACTTTTCAGATAAACATTACAGGTAACATGGTACAAAAACAAAAATGTTGGGGGACCTGGCTGGCTCAGTTGGTAGAGCGTGTGACTCTTGATCTTGGGGTTGTGAGTTCAAGCCCCATGTTGGATGTGGAGATTACTTAAAAATAAAATCTTTCCAGGGCACCTGGGTGGCTCAGCTAGTTAAGAGTCTGGCTCTTGGTTTTGGCTCAGGTCATGATCTCAGGATTCTGGGATCCAGCCCCATGTCAGGCTCCATGCTCAGCAGAGAGTCTGCTTGAGATTCTCTCTCCTCTCCCTCTGCCCCTCCACCCTGCTCACATTCTCTCTCTAAAATAAAGAAAAATAAAATCTTTCCCCTGAAACTAATACTACACTATATGTTAACTAACTTGAATTTACATAAAAACTAAAAGAATAATAAAGTCTTAAAAAAAAATAAAAATGTTTTACAAATATAAAACAGCAAGCTCACAACCTAGAAGGAAATAAACTACCCAAAGTGAGATTTAGTAGAAACAACAGATTCCAATACCCAAGGACTTCAAATTAGAATTATAGATTTAACATATAAAACGAGGTTATGAGCAGCTTAAAGAAATAACTGGTAGAACTGAAGACATGTTCACACAAAAACTGGTACACAAATGTTCACAGCAGTTTATTTATAACAGCCAAAGAATGGAAACAACTGATGAATGGACAAAATGTGGTATTATCCACACAAGGAAATACTGTTCAGCCATGAAAAGGAATGAAGTACTGATACATGCTACAACATGGGATGAACCTTAAAAGTATTATGCTAATTGCACTACTGGGTATTTACCCCAAAGATACAAATGTAGGGATCCAAAGGGATACGTGCACCCCGATGTTTATAGCAGCAATGTCCACAATAGCCTAACTGTGGAAAGAGCCAAGATGTCCATCGACAGATGAATGGATAAAGAAGATGTGGTATGTGTATATATATATATATATACACACACACACACACACACTCACAATGGAATATTATGCAGTCATCAAAAGGAATGAGATCTTGCCATTTCCAATGACATGGATGGAACCGGAGGGTATTATGCTGAGCGAAATAAGTCAATCAGAGAAAGACATGTATCATATGACCTCACTGATATGAGGAATTCTTAATCTCAGGAAACAAACTGAGGGTTGCTGGAGTGGGGGGTTGGGTGGGAGGGATGGGGTGGCTGGGTGATAGACACTGGGGAGGGTATGTGCTATGGTGAACGCTGTGAATTGTGCAAGACTGCTGAATCACAGATCTGTACCTCTGAAACAAATAATGCAATATACGTTAAGAAAAAAAAAAGAAGAAGATAGCAGGAGGGGAAAAAGGAAGGGGGGGAGTCGGACGGGGAGGCGAACCATGAGAGACGATGGACTCTGAACAACAAACTCAAGGTTCTAGAGGGGAGGAGGATGGGAGGATGGGTTAGCCTGATGATGGGTATTGAGGAGGGCGCGTTCTGCATGGAGCACTGGGTGTTATGCACAAACAATGAATCATGGAACACTACATCAAAAACTAATGATGTAATGTATGGCGATTAACATAACAATAAAAAATTTAAAAATAA